TACTAGACTCCACTAGTGTTCCATATGCTTGTACTTTTACTATACTCCACTAGTGTTCCTTATGCTTGTACTTTTACTAGACTCCACCAGTGTTCTGTATGCTTGTACTTTTACTAGACTCCACTAGTGTTATGTATGCTTGTACTTTTACTATACTCCACTAGTGTTCTGTATGCTTGTACTTTTACTAGACTCCACTAGTGTTCCATATGCTTGTACTTTTACTAGACTCCACTAGTGTTCTGTATGCTTGTACTTTTACTAGACTCCACTAGTGTTCTGTATGCTTGTACTTTTACTAGACTCCACTAGTGTTCTGCATGCTTGTACTTTTACTAGACTCCACTAGTGTTCTGTATGCTTGTACTTTTACTAGACTCCACTAGTGTTCCTTATGCTTGTACTTTTACTAGACTCCACTAGTGTTCTGCATGCTTGTACTTTTACTAGACTCCACTAGTGTTCTGTATGCTTGTACTTTTACTAGACTCCACTAGTGTTCCGTAGGCTTGTACTTTTACTAGACTCCACTAGTGGAGCCTAGTTAAAGTACAATGGTACGAAACGCATAGACTGCTGCGATTTGTTACTTTACTACTGCCCATTAGGCATGTTTCTGAATTAATTCTAATTATTTTGATTATTCATTTGTGCAGCAAGAGATCGGGGTGACTGCAGTGAATAAGGTATGAGCTGCCTTTGGATTTTTGGGCATAAATTACTTAAGTGTTTGTAGAAAATCGATTATACTTTGAGACTGATCTTGTTACAGCCCAATACAACACACTCTACTCTGCGCTAGACACTCTGGCTATTCCTAAACTACACGAAACCACACACTGTCTAACCAAACGTATTACTTGCACTTGTCATCCACTACAAATGTGTTCTCCATTCATACAATTTTGCCCTTCACTTAGGCAAATAAACATCTCTCTTCTCCTATATCTACTGTTTCCTCCACCTCTACATGACTTTTCTCTTCTTTCAACTCTTGTCTCTATCTATCTACACCAGCCCCCTTATAAGATTTTAGCACTGGACACCTTGCTGACTACTTCTTTAAGCAAAATACATGCAGGGTTATTTTCAAACATGGAAATTAAAAGTGATCATCAAATTTAAGGTCAAAACAGCCAAACTGAAAAAATTATCTAATTCAGCTATGCTTTTAGTTCATCTGCTCTGGGCTTAAATTTGAAATTCATTTTGAATTCTCATTTTAGTGAATAACCATAATACATGCCAACACACGCTTGAAATATTCTTCCACCACCCCTGGTCACCCCCACTGAGATCCCTCTGCTTCTTTCCTTCATCCACTGAGGAGGAATGGTGTTCTTTGCTGTCTTCTTCAAGCCTCACTAACTGCCGCTCAACCCTCTCCATTCACATCTAATAACTTCCCCGTCTTCCATGCTCACTCCTGCTCTTACTCACATTTTTAATCTATCCCTTTCTACCAGTTCATTCCTATCGTTTTTCAAACTTGCAAAAGTCACTCCTTTGACACTAATTCTCCAGCAAACTACCACCCCATATCATTGCTTCCACTAACATCAAATCTCCTGGAAAAACTAGTCAACAACTACCTAATTCACTTTCTGTCCTCCGTCCCCAGTACTTGACTGAAACTGCCCTTACAAAAGTTACTAATGACCTTCTTTCTGCTAAATGACATCTCAGCTGCCTTCAACACTGGCCACTTCATCTTCCTCTCAAATCTCATGGTCTCTGTGACACTGTCCTCTCTTGAGGCAGTTAGTAATTCTTTTCAATTAATTTTGTGGCTTAACCATGTTGTATAGGATAGCCATCTTTTGCGCTGTTTGGTCGAGAGCACCACATATAGGCAAAAAGCAATGCACTGAAGTACTTGTCCACTAGTTTTCAATTATTTGCACTGTGTTTGGAAACTGTGCTTTAAACCAAATAGGAGTTAAATGTCTAGGCAGCCATTTAGAAGGCCCGGGGGGTCAATCTCTGGTTGACCAGCAGGAGGGGAGCACACCGCACAGTGCTCTCTCCTTCAAGTCGTTTTTCTTGTAGTGTGGCGGAGGGAATCGCAGTAGAGCATCTTCTGTATCCTCTACCCAGTCTGACAAAAAGCTGCTCACTGAGAGCAATCAGCACTTCCTGTCAGACAGGGAAAACAGAAGATCCTCCATCGCGGTCCGCTCAGATTTGCTACATGAAGGTAAATATGTGCGAGATAAACCACAAAGGGACACACAGAAGAGGTTGAAGGGGTGTCCCTTTTTGACCATTTGAAATGTTGGGAGGTATTTGCAGTGGCGATTGGTAACATTTAAAAGTGGTGTGCACTGTCTGCCTAAATAGTCAAACTCTAATTTAGCCCCATAAGATGCCATGCCCTGTTCAAAACCAGCTTCATCTCCTGTAACCGATAAAGGGAAGAATGCAAACTGCAGATATAATTATGACACACATGTTTTTTTAATATACACTCATCACTAATCCTTAATATGCCAATACATTTATTTTGTTATTGCAACAACAACAAAAAAATTGTTAGCTACCCCACCAGCCCAATGTACCAGGCTCCACTGGGTTTGTGCTTATACACAATTTAGTGGATCCTTCTCATCAGCAGGTACTAAGGATATTAATTAGTACTGATGGTAAATTATAGCCATTCTACAACCACTTTCAGCCCACAAGAGACTTGGTTCTGTCTTTTGGTTCATCTATCTGTAATACAGTGCCCCAAACCAACAGCCGCGATTACAGGAATTGGTAATAAGACTTAAAATTGACAAACGAGAGCTACATTCTAATTGAGAATTTGTAGCATTAATTGAAAGCTGATATTTACTAACATACTCGCTGCAACCATAAAGAGGATGACTGAATTACCAAGATAAATTGGCATGAATTGTAGGTTACATATGTGCAAAATGGATAGAGTCTTGATAAAAAAAAAAATAGTCCCACCTGTAATTGTTGCTTTTGAAGCTCAGGAAGTGCCTGTCCTTTAAAATGTGTGTGCAAGCGTACATTGCAGGCACCAAATATTTACATTGTGCACACGATCTAAAATCCCATGCGTGCATGAGGCCTGACCACGCACTCTAATCCAGTGTTTCCCAACCCAGTCCTCAAGGCACACCTACCAGTCCAGGATTTAGGGATTACAGGGTGTGTCTAAGGTGTTTTTACAAAGAAGAAAAAAAACACCTTAGACACAACTGGGTAATCCCTAAATCCTGGACTGGTAGGTGTGCATTAAAACTTGAATAAAGGAAAAAATCCTGCACATATTGTCCACATCCAAAAGGCAGACCCAATTTTGTTTGAAATGGTTGCCATTCGCATACAAGCTTCTCCACAAGACAAATTTATACATTATTTAATGGTAACTACAATTAATCTTAATAATAGCTTGGTTTGATTAAAATAGTATTCAGACCGATTGATGCCACACGTATTTATCAGTATAATTACTGTTACTATTAGATGGAGAGTAAATATGAAAAACCAAGGGTTATACAGGTGATAATCGAAAAAATAGAATATTGTGCAAAAGTTCATTTATTTCAGTAATGCAACGTAAAAGAGGAAACTGATATATGAGATAGACGCATTACATGCAAAGCAAGATAGTTCAGTGGAAGAGTTCAACGAGTTTATACAACTGTTGAATGTGAATAAACTGAAACTGCAATTTACCAGTGAGGTTGGGGGTAAACATCTAAATTTCCTAGACATCACTTTATCAATACAAGAAGATGGCAAGATCTTTACAACGTTGTATCGCAAAAAAACAGCCACAAATAATTTTCTAAACTGGGAAAGCCATCATCCTTACCCCTCCAAAGCAGGCATCCGAGTAGGGCAATACCTGCAGTTACCAGGCAGCCTAAGGAAGTCCTTTAAAGAGAAAGGATACCCCAACCGAGTTCTTAAAAAGGGCATTAAATTCAGATAGAGCGAGTCTTCTCCTGGAGAAAACTCCATCTCCAAGCCATCAGATTCGATGTATCGGGACATACGATGCGGGTTGGCAAAAAATGATGTCCATTCTGGGCAGGTATTGGCCAATCCTGACTGCAGACGTTCATATTAAGTCTGTCATTTCCCCATTTCCTTCGGTTACGGCACGTAGAGGAATGAAATTTAGAGACCTACTGGTACTCAGTCATTTTGGATCTCCCAGTTGCTCTCTAAAACCATATCTACCCAAGGGCACATACAAATGTGGCCATTGTAGTGCCTGTCAATATATAGCCAAGGAAACAAGGATATTCTATGACAGTCTGAACCAGGACTCTTATCCAGTACATTCCTTCTTCAATTGTCGTACAGAGGGGGTCATTTACCTTTTAACATGCTCCTGTGGAACTAAATATATTGGAAAGACATTTTGTGCTTTCAAATTCCATATCAGAGAACATGTAAACTCTGTCAGAAGCAAATTGGAAACCCCCATTTCAAGACATCTCAAGGCATACCATGCCAATTCATCTAGTAAGATACGCTTTATGGGTATCGAACTCATACCCCGAACTCAACTATAGGGGATTGGGATCATAAACTAAAGCAAAGAGAATCGTACTGGATATATAAACTTAAAACACTTTCACCACAGGGACTAAATGAAGGCTTTTCATTTTCATCATTTATACAGACCTCATAGGTATTTCCATTGACAGATACTCACACCATTTATTTGTTTCTTTTAGATGCTGTCTGTAAATATGTTTATATGAAAATAATTAAAGTTTTTTTGTTTTTCATTAACTAGCTTGTATGGATCCCACTGATTTATACCTGATAACACTATATGGCTGATTCTATATGTCATTGTGCACAAAACATTCAGTATTTATATCCATTCATTATTACCTTTTATTTTTATATGCCCATTATCATTTTCGGTACTCATAGGAATTTTGAAATATTGGATACTCAATGTGGTTCCATTATGAACTACATTCAAGTCTGAATCCATTAATTTTTTATACAAATGATGCATATCGTTATAATGGGGCATTATAAATATTCCTGTACTTTTCTTTTGGATCTTTATTTTCATACTGATAGTGGGCATGACGATTACATTCGTCACTTGTCAATCGCGTTGGCACCCCTCCCTCTTTCTTTTTCCTTCTACATACTGATGTCTTTAGATATGACATGGTAAGAAGGCGTGGCGACTCCACGTCATCACGCCAGTATGCCGGATCAGCTGAGAAGGGCTCCACACGAGCCGCGCAATTGAGAGAGGTGCGGCTAATCCCTTTTCGTAAGTTGATTGACCCATCCGCTATCCAATCACAATGACATGACGCTGGGAGTGGGCGTGGCGATTCAACGTCACTCGCCAGACCCTCTCCAGCATATCGGATCATTGAGTAAACTTTGACCCTGTACCTCACAGTCAGCAGACACATTCCAGCCAATCAGCAGCAGACCCTCCCTCCCAGACCCTCCCACCTCCTGGACAGCATCCATTTTGAAGCTGCATTCTTAGTGGGCTGGAGGTGGGAGGGTCTGGGAGGGAGGGTCTGCCGCTGATTGGCTGGAATGTGTCTGCTGACTGTGAGGTACAGGGTCAAAGTTTACTCAATGATGAGTCCGTGGCGAACCGTTGGTGGCGAACCGTTGGCGAACCGTTCGGCGAACCGTTCGGGACATCACTACCAGAGAGATCTTTCCTATGTCAGAGGGGTAAGTATGTACAGTGTTTGTTTATCTGTACTATCCAGGTATAAGACAGTGTTGGTCCTATGCACTTGTATTATTATTATTATTATTGGTATTTATGTAGTGCTTTACAATCTTATCAAAGGGGAAGATTTAACAATAAATGAAACCCTGCTCAAATGAGCTTACATTCTAGAGCTCGGGTTCCTAAATTTTTAAGGTTCAAGGCACCCTTAAAATTTTAATATTTTTCCAAGGTGTCCCAAGTCAAAATGTTTTTTATGTTGTATATATGTACAGCGCAGCGGCATATACTGGGCCCCTGTTCAGCAGAAATGCTTGCCGTTCAAGCGCAGATCCAGAACCTAATCTTGGGAGGGGCACTGGTAGATTATTTAAAGAAACAATCCAGGCACAATAACCACTACAGCACGTTGTAGTGCTTATGGTGCCAGTAGTGCCGTAGTGCCCTCCCAGAGTAAGTATTAAAACTGTTTAAGAACTGTTTGACAATTTACCTGGGATCTGCCGGGATAGGGGCTGTAGAAAGGGATAGGAGCAGTAGTGTGCGTGAGGTGTGCAATATGTGTGTGAGTGGTGAAGTGTGTGTGTGTGTGTGAGGGATGCAGTGTGCGTGTGTGTGGGGTGCAGTCTGTGTATAGGGGGCAGCTTGTGCGTGAGGGGTACAGTGTGTGTGTTGGGGGGCAGTGTGTGAGGGGTACAGTTTGTGTGTATGAAGGGGCAGTGCGTGTATGTAGGGTAATTGTGTGTATGGGGGGTAATTGTGTGTATGGGGGAGCAGTGTGTGGGGGGAAAGTGTGTGTGTGTGTATGGGGTAATTATGTGTATGGGGTAATTGTGTGTGTGTATGTATGGGGAGTAATGTGTTTGTATATGGGGGCAGTGTGTGTGTGTGGGGCGGGCATTTTGTGTGGGGGGGCAGTGTGTGTATGGGGGGGCATTATTGTGTGGTGGGAGGGCAAATTCATGAATATAAAATCATTTTTTTTTTAAATTAAAAATAATAATTTTCATATCCCCCCCCCTCCCTGCTTACCTTTGCCTGGGAGGGGGTGGGAGGGGGGCAATCCCTGGTGGTCCCAGTGGTGAGAGTGAACTGTAGCAGCCTCAGGAGCTGCTACAGTTCACTCTAGCGAGATTTGGAGTGTTGCCGCGGTAACGCTCCAAGCTTGTGAGAGGAGAACCTGGCGGAGCTTCAAGTTAGAGCTCCCCGGGTCGTCTCTGCCTCCCCTGCCGGCTGCCAGCAGTACACTGCAAGCAGGCCGGAGAGGGAGATCTCTGATCTCCCCTCCTGTCCTGCAGAGCCAGCAGGGTAGAGGGAGGCACGGTTCCCGGTGCTATAACCATAGCACTGGGAAAATATCTTGCGGCTCCCCTGTGCGCACAGTTTGGGAACCACTGCTCCAGAGGTTCATGGTTTTACATTTATGTTTTCGTGTAAGAGCCTCTGTCACAATTCAGAAACTGTATTAATACAATTGATATAATTAGGAGCTCATTATGGGAACACTCAAAACACAATAACTACGACAGCTTGCTGTAGTGGTTGTGGGGCCAGTACACTGCAAGCGGGCCGGAGAGGGAGATCTCTGATCTCCCCTCCTGTCCTGCAGAGCTGTCAGGGGAGAGGGAGGCACGGTTCCCGGTGCTATAATCATAGCACCGGGAAAATATCTTGCGGCTCCCCTGTGTGCACAGTTTGGGAACCACTGCTCCAGAGGTTCATAGTTTTACATTTATATTTTCATGTAAGAGCCTCTGTCACAATTCAGAAACTGTATTAATACTATTGATGTAATTAGGAGCTCATTATGGGAACACTCAAAACACAATAACTACGACAGCTTGCTGTAGTGGTTGTGGGGCCAGGAAGACAAACTGTTTTAGACAGACATGCCTGAGCATGCTCACTTTACCCTGTGTGGCTAGGAACGACAGGCATTTAAAGGGCTAATAAAACTCATTGATAGAGAGATTATTTTTTTTGGGGGTTCAATATGATGCATAGGTATTTTTGCAGATGCCTACTCTGCTTGGAGATTCTTTTCTTTAAATTTATTGACTGTCCCTTAGCCATCAATCATCTCTTTTTTTTTGGGCCACAGATGGATCTCCGAATCAAGAGAACAAGCTTGTCCATTGCCTGATTGGCCAAAGTGGTTAAATGTTTTTGGTTAATGACATTCGGTAATGAATAGCAACAGGGATGGAAACCAGTCGGAGACTGGCCAACACATAGAGCCTCTCATGCCACTTGGCAACTAGCAGGGCCTCACCTGTCACCCTCATTAATTAAATTCTACGCCACTTGGCAATAGCTAGCCTGCTGGTAAGTTATAAGGATCATACTAATGGTGGCTTTGTATAACTCGTATGCCTCGAGTTCCCAAGTCACGGGGGGACTGTCTCTACCCAACACCTCTGCAAGTTCTCGTGCTCCATCTCGCAGAGTATATACAGTTTGTCCGGAATCCCTTAAAGCCGGGACTACTCCACGAATCACGGCTGGACTCGGCAACCGCGGGTATGGGAAGCTGGCAATCATCCTCTTATACATTATCTATAATGGAACCAGTTAGGGATTTGCCAGGCATGGTGGGACTTTTCCAAGTAATCTTGAGGCATTGTAGAACGAATATATATTTGTATGGTACACTTCTTTTGGCCTTCTTTATTATAGACCTACTGCATCGTCGGTTCCGGCACACCACAATTGACCGGTGCTATTGACTAAGATGTTTATTGCTAATTATGTGTTATCTTACCATTACGGAAAAATTGCCCTGACCACAAATATATATATTGCTTTTTAATTTAAATCATATATTTTTCATCACATATAATTTGCTTGTGAAATGCACATCCACCTAACAGTAGTTGTGGTAAGATTTCTCACAACTGAGATAACAAATACTTTGCATTCCATATGTTATACTTTACTCACTACCATAGTAAAAAAAAAACTCGGTAGTACAATAATAGTAAACAGCAACTTATTATAGCCTATTGGTACTTGGGACTATGGGATAAGTATACAAAATCTGTCATGCTGAACTATGATTGATGCTTATCAGCAAAAACTAAGTAACCAGTTACTCATAGTTACATTCAACTTTGATATTTAACAGTCACATTGGATTCTTCAATGTGGAATGTACAATGCTGAAAGTAGAAAATATGCAGCTGATTATGTCACAGCTAAGCAACCAGGAAACAACACGATCAGTTGTCTGACTGACAGCCAGGGTGTGTAACAAGGTTAAAGTCACAGCATAGTCACCAAAACAACTTTAGCTTAATGGTGCGCTACGCAAATTAGGGGCACCCTTGGGGAACCTCCTGATACCTCAATCAAGAGTTTTCCATGTTCGAGAGCCTGAGGTGATTCACCGCGGCCTGTGGGTGATTGAGCAGGGGAGAGGTGACTGTTCTCCTCGCCCGTACACAGGCGGCTTAGGACCAATGGGGGTGATCTCGGTCCACTCCTTGGAGGCAGCCTGGCTGCAAAGGACACAGGCAGTGAGGCCACACGAGCAGCTGACAGATGCGGAGGCCTGCACAATGGCGGACGTCACTTGCTCTCCAAAGCGCTATTAAGAGAGGCCTCATACTCTGAAAAGGTTGGATGCCATTTTCAATGCCTTTTGGATGAAATTGGCAAGCAGAGAGCAGCAGGCTACTGTACACAAACCAGATGAGTACTCACCCATCGTGATGCCCGCACGCTCCCGCCATGGACGCACAGTTCCCCAAAGAAAGAGAGCTCGAAGATGGTGCAGATGAAGGCGAATTCTCCCACCTGCATGCAAACCCACTCGCCACATGAATCGGGAGGCATTTATGCTCCACCACAAGACACCACCAATCCTATCTACTTCCAGCTTCCAACAAAATCCCGCAATAAAGCTACTGAGATGCTTACATCCCTCAGCACGCCGGATCCTGATAACACAGAGGATAATCCAGCAGGCCTCACTAGGTCGATCATATACTTGTCAAGCTAACGCACGTCTCCACTCAAGTGGGTGGCAGAGCCGACACTGGGACTCTCACACCTGGACTCAATGGTGCCCCAGCGGGCAGGGCCGGATTAACATAGGGGCTGATGGAGCTGCAGCTCCAGGCCCAGGCCCATGGAATAGGCCCATTGATTTATAAAAAATAAAAAAATAAAAAATTTATTTTATTTTTTTTTACTTTTTTTTTTTTTTTCACACACAACTCTTAGGGATTCCACCTGGCTTTTATTTTATTGGCACAGCCAGTATTTGAGGCTGCCTGGCTGGTGCCAATATTACAGTGATACTGGCAATACAAATGCTGGTATTTTTCTCAGTATAAACAAGAGATTACTATGCAATACCAGCACTGGCCAGTAGGGGTCGCTGTGTGTGGAGACAGGCAGGGATAGGAAGTTCCAGCATATCCCTCCCTGCCTATCTATACTCACTGATCTGCAGGGGTGCAGCTACAGAGAGTCCAGACAGCAACTCCCACCCTGCAGAGACAGCCTACAGCTCAGGGAAGTGAGGGATGGGGAAAGGCTGCAAGGAGACATACACTGAGACACTATGGGACATTAGGAGACATTATGACACAGACACATGTGGACACAGTGTCCCCATGTCTCCCAGCCAGTGTCCCTGGTGTCTCAGTGCCCCCTATTCTCCCAGTGCCCCTAGTC